TGTGTGTTTTTCATAGAAAATATAATTTTGCCTCGTTTATGCACGTTCACCGTCAAATACAATATTCTCGAGACAATGTTACGTTTTTCTGACGGGGGAGAGCGTACTACCCGGGACTGAATGACGAGCGCCTTCTGGTCAACTTTGTTTACCGTTTAACCAGGCTATATCGATTTGCTTCGGAATTTTGTATTTTACGCAAAAGGTATGATTGACTCAAGTTCATCAAATGTCTACAAGATAAGCAGTATATATTATCTGTAATTACTCACTTGAAGAGGGATAAGCTCTTCAACGTTCATATCCTTCAGAGCTACCTTAAAGGAACCTGAGAATTTGTTTCTCCGAGGCCGACAAGAAGCCACAGAGCCTTCAGGGCTAAAGAGAGTAAGCCTCGAGGAAGCCGAATACCGGTTTGCACATCCAAGTTCGAGTGCAACCGAGTGGGTTGTGACCACTTGTAATGCTTCCGACGGCATTACAAGCGGTCACTGGCACAATCCATCAGGTAGTCTTTTTCCGACTGGTGTGTTTATCACGTCCAAAATAATAATATCTCGAGTTTTTTTGTTTTTTTTTTTTTGCTTGGTGACGCCATGTTCTCGCCGTCCGCGATCTTCGCGGTGTCTCAGTCGCGGTGGTGTATGTGGCAGAAGCCTGTTCTGCTGCAGGTCTCTCTCCAGTGCGGCAGTTTACGGAAGCTTGGGCAGCCAGAAGTTGGGACGCCGTGATGACAGTGACACTGGCGTCCGCTTGTGCTTGTCCCCAAAATTTCTACGACCAACCGCAAGGATTGCGACATCCGACAGCATAGCACTCCCGCTTATGTGACGTTGCCACTTCGGACCCACTTTTGATGTGTGCGCGAGACAGGACGCTAAACACACAAGTCAAAGACGCGCATATGGATCTGCGGACTAGAGTCGACGTTTTTGCAGAGCAGGCACGATCAATTCTACGCACTGTTAATGAGAAGTAGTAGCTTATTATATTGCCAAAAAGTATGCAAGAGTCACGGCGAAAGAATTATGCGTAAAAAAAGTACGCAATATACGCTTCGTTTCACGCGAATCCGGATTCTCCGGTTGCGCAGTGCCAACACCTCGTGTTTGCAAATGCCGCCTCGTTTGTAAACAGCCTGTAGGTCTGCACGCGGTTTCATCTTATGCTAACTCAATCGACGAACCCCAAACATCCTAAAAAATATATTACGCTCATGGGGGGCCGATGTTCCTATTAGAAATATGATCAAAGTTAGTGGCACCATCTGGTATTACAGACGCCATTTTCAAATAATAAGCATCGTTTACGTCTTCTACACCCAAATATTCGGCGATTTTGTCAAAATATAATGTATAACGCGCCTAAAAAGAGCAAAAATAGTGACGTCGAAATCTCCACGCGATTAACTATTGTCATCGGTCAAAGTTCATGGAGACGGTGGGAACCCGAAAAGAACCCTTTTGCACCCCCCTCCCCTCCCCCCCCCCCCCCCTTCCAAGAGTCAGTAGTGCCTGTCCATTTCCATAGACCCTTTTCAGAAAGGCACCGCCATCTTGAAATATCACGACTTCCAGTATGGCCGAAAGCATAGTTTTGGTGCCGCCATGAAAATAGTATACATTTAGGATATAAGCGTGGCGTCACCCATTCTCGCTTTGTATCGTCTCCTTTTTTTTTTACTATTTGCAGGTTAATATATTTTATCAGTTTTTTGTCGCCTTTACCGGATACGCCTATCAGGTGGCCGTGGGCTAGAGTAAGCGAAAAAGGTCGTTGCTGCGACTTTACTACAGTCCGTCGCAACTCAAGAAGGTAGGGCGAGTGAAAGAAAGGCCGGGGAGGAGGAAGCAGAGGGAACGCGGGAGAAGACGAGGAGGTTTCCCCTTTTCCTCTCCAGCGTTCCGTCTGCTTCCTCATCCGCGGCCTTCGATGCTCTCCCTTGCCCTACCTTCTTGAGCTGGAATTTACTACAGATCTGGTCATTTGTATTGACTAAAACCCAGCAAACAATATGCCATCAAAGACAAGGTTCTACGAGTTAGAAGCGAGGCGTCGACTGCAACTCTGAAGCCTCGGTCCCACTGCTAATACTGTGTACAAACAAGTGTGCCGACTCTGTACGAGGCATGTTTCTTCCTCTCATGTCGGTCACGTATTATTGGTCCCGCAAAAACTCTCTGACCACATGTCCCAAGCAAATATGTATAAAGCAAACATGCGTCGAACATACTTGACGCATGTCCGCAAAACATTCTGTCGTCATGTCTGCAGCACACATACTGTTTTTGACAGTATCATGATGTACATTATCTGCTTCCTCGGCCCGTCCGCCCCCCCCCCCCCCCAAAAAAAAAATAAGAAAGAAAAAAACAGCAACAACATTATAATTCTTTATTTCCTACATAATCTACGCGTCGCCATAACGCTCATTTTCCGCACAACTGTCGCGCCGGCGGTCCGAACCGGTTGCCAGAAAGCGTTAATTTAAAAGCTATGTGTGATTTTCCGATAAAATTTCAATCTGAAAGTTTTGGTAACTGGCGCCATACAACAGCAGCGTGTATGAGAGGTGCTCCGTCGGGCGCGTATTTTCCTAATGAAAAGTTTAGAAAGTCGCGTAACTTTTTAATAAGATCATCGTTCATTCAGAAAAACTTGGGCATGTGGTTGGGGTCGCTCGCGCTACATCTTGACGGAGAATAATCATTCGGCGATGCGAAGTTTATTTGAGCCATCAAAATATATATACATATAGTTACATATTTTCCCCTCACAGTCTGCATAACGTCCTTGGGTAAAACGCGATATTCCGAATATTTACGCCACGGAATTTTTTTCTTTTTTTAGTTTTAAACGTGAATTTTACTACTTTCTGAATTTTTCCGCTTCTATAATATTTTATACGAAACCAAAAGTTGGTAGGGACAAGAACGCTAGCACCAGACCTTGGAAATGACGCCATTTTTTGTTGATATCATTCAACTACAGTGTCAGATCTAGCACCATAATGTCGTTTTTATGTCCTTTGTGATTTACCTCTTGCCACACTCCCTTTTCCATTTCAAATAGCGCAAAAACAAAGGGATGACCGACTTTGATTTTAGAAGAACAGAAGATACCAGTGAGCATGTTGTGCATTGCAAACGATGTAATGATGAGAGAGCGTTATCTGAATTCAGGCATGTTCAAGAACCGTACAGGTCTAGTATGAAGACTGATATATGCGACGCACGCAGACGATTACACAAGCAACGAGGCTTTATAAAATATAGAAAAGACCAAGTGAGCTTTTACATCATGTTAGAATGCTCTGTTGTGTACTTTATTAACATGGTAGCAAAAAAAAATTATATTAAACTAATGAATACTCTATTGTTAGCTATAAATATTTGCTGCTAAATGTAAACGCAAAAAAAACGAAATGAAAAAAAATTGATGAACTTGATGTGTCTTTTGAAGGGGCACTGACACCCCAAAGGTCGTATTTTTTTTAATTGTCTAAAACGATGCAAGTTATAGTCATAGACACGCAAAAAAAAGCCGCATCGCGAAAAAAAAAAATTCCCCCCGTGCGCGCGCGCGCCTTTTTATTTTTGGCGTTTATATTTCCCGCGCTCACCTCCTTGCTTCTTTTGATCGGTGATGTCAAAAATCAGGAAATTTAGAACCTTTGTAGGCGACATTTCTATAACATTTAATAACGGCTTTCGTAAAGCAAGTTTTTTTTTTTTTTTAACGGAGTTGCGAACGCACTACGACCGCTCTTTTTGAAATACCAAAAATCAGATTTTGGTGTGATGTCGCTTCCTGGATTTGTATCCTCTCACGGAAAACTTGGCGGCGCTCGAGCAGAGGATGATCGGCGAGTCGAGGGAAGAAACCGTTTTTTTCCCATGCCGGCGCCCTTCTATCCCGGCTGCTCACCTCCTCCTCGCTTCGGGTCGCGGTGGCAACGGCGCTTTGCTTCATGGCGTGGAGCGGAGGTCCGAAAGAAAGTCGAGTCGCAGGGAACCGCAAAATTTGACTAACTGCACTGGCGCGGATCGCGCGGAAACTTCAAATTCACATTGGGATTTTTTTTTTTTTTTTTTCCAATTCAGAAATACTGAATTCCTAAGTTCCGTAATTTTGAGGGTAATGTCTCGGCATCGTTTTCAATCGTTTCGAATAATGAATAAAATATGATTTTAATAATTTTGATGTGTCAGTGCCAAATTAATACTAACTCAAAACAAAAAGACTCATTGAAAAAAAGATGAAATGCGAGGATGATGGTTTTAATGTATATATGCAGTATGACGGCGACTTTAAATTTGCGGGGGGGGGGGGGGGGTATTTCTTTTCAATATTCGAACTCGATGTTTACGCCACAGTTTGGCACACGCACAGTGTCAATGGACCTTTTCCGAGAAGCGTTCTGCGCACGCGCGAGCGCCCGATGCCAAGCAGCGGATGTCGGCACGAAAAATCGAGGAAATTCGGAAGGAGGCTGTCGATCAGCGAGTAGAACACGTAATTGCAGCATATATACAATCGTGTTACACACACAAAAAGAAAAAAAGAGTGCACGGAAAGAAAAGCATGACGTTTGGGTGGACGCCACGGATGCCCCCTCTTTAAAGTTGCGTTGGTCACGCGCCGCAGCTCAGAGAGCGAAGAAACTGGTAGCGTAGCTCCCATTATCGATTGGTAGCACGGGTAGGTCCTTCCTCGATTTTTACTTCGTGCAGCCACCACCTGATGCCGTCAGTATGTCAAAAAGGTCCATTGCGGTGGGCTCATTCCTAAAGGCATTCATATACCTCGCCCATTTTGAGTCTTCGTAGTTGTATGTGCAAAACATTGTTTTTCTAGGTTCCAGGAGATATATATTTTAGCAGGATTAAGATTCGTTTTCGCTAAGTCAATGGGAGAAACATGTCAACTCTGGAGTGCCCAAAGCGCTAGAACGCGGTCAAGGTCTGGTGGAGGCGCACTATGGCGCGGAGCCCACTCACCGCAGAAGGGAATGTTGGGAGGCGTCCACGTCCCGTTCGCCGAGCACATCCTCCTGCCGGGTCCCAAGAGTTCGTAGCCGGGGTCGCAGGTGTACGTGGCCACGCTGCCGACACTCAGGTCGTCCTTGGAGTAGGTCACACTGCAGTGGGCAGGAACCCACGGGTATCCGCAGTGCAACTCTGCTAAAAAAGGACGGTAAAGAAAGAGTACTGGTCAGGAATGGTGGCCACACTCGAAATGGACCAGGACACAAGCGATACCAGCTATTTTCCGTTCTCTCGTAAGCTGACACTGCATTAAAATTAACTGTTGGGCTAGTTGCGTAAACATCAATACAAAAAAAAAGCTCAACGGACGAGCACAGGACCAATTTTCAAACAGCACCAGTGTTTTCTTTTTGTTCGTTTTGTACTTGTTTTTTGCGCTTTTGTGTTAACGCTGATCACTGCAGTTGAAGCTACGCGTTCGCCGGACCAATAAGTCGTTTCTGTTTCATCACATGACTCGGCTCTCTGTGCGTGTATATATGGGAGGGGGCGTGATAATGTAGATTAAGCTCGATCTACGGCTTTCGATTTGTAAGTGATCTCAGCTTGGGAAAAAAGTGTGCCACCGCTTTCAGGTCCTGAACATTGTAACACTGATGCGTATAAATAGCTGCGACGGTTTTTTTTTTTTTTAATGTTTTGTTTGTCTTTAGTCAACCTTTTTATCGGATAAGGCTGCGGTCTTATTTATTATACAGTAACAATAAAATTATCGGGATTCACCACACTCTATCTCTATTGGAACGATAGTGACTAGGGACGGCATTCCCCCTAAGACGTTCGCAGTGCAACGAAATACATTCTGGGCAAAATGGTTTGAATGCGCTTTAAACTGACCGCATTAATTGGTTTCTTCACTCATCGCGCTGGGAAGCATTCTCTAAAAATGGGGTAAGATTGTCTGCTCGGAGTAAATCACGAAAAATCAAAAACTATGTTTGTCCTGTACTTTGAAAGTACACTAAACATATAATTTGTGTTACTGTAAATGAAGTAAAGAATAGGACAGCCAACTATTTATTTTCATGTCACATTTTTCAGTCTTAGTAAACACCAGAATAGCCAAAAACGATTTTGTGATGACTTTAAGAAAAAAGGCTTCGCGAGAAAATTTTCGTGGACAAAACCAGTTTTTATTTTCTTTCTTTTGACTTCGGAAGTTTCATGTATTCATACTGTATTCATACATTACGGCATTCCCCTAGTAAATCCCAGCGCGATATAAGTTAGCAAACCGATTTATGCGATCAGTTTAAAGAGCGTTCAATTCATTTCGCCCACGGTGTACATGATTGTTTCAATGACGTACTTTTAGAGTCAATCGGCACCGATATTTAAAGCGACCATTGAGTCTGCTGAATTTTCAAATAATCTATTCTATTGCAATATAGCACCGCATTGGTATAGAGCAGGGACGACCAGACTGCGCAGCTTCCAAACCACGTGCCGTTTTTAGGGAATAAACGTCGGCTCTCGCTATCTGGAGACTTTCAACGCAGTTATGGTTTAGGCCAAATTACTCCAGCTCATGAAAGTGCGCGAGTGCTGCCGTAAAGTATTAAAAAAAAGGAGCCACCGGAGCTGTTGATGTGCGCGTCTGCACTGAATCGTCGGCTGAAAAATAGACTAATGCAATTAAGGAAACAAGCGGCGGGGGCAAACTTCTTTTTTTATTTTAATATTTGAGGTAACTGAATGAAATTTTCAGTTTATAGTGCTATATCTCCCTTTTGTAAATCTGGCGTTAGTATTATCATAGCTTGTTTTTACGTTCTAAATGCACTGCGCATGCAAAAACAAGCCAACGTTCTTGAGTTCACGTGGGGCATAGCAATCCAAAGGGCCTAGTAAGACTGGATAATTTGCTCTTTTTAAGTCACTTGGTGCAATGAAAAACCAAAATAATGGATACAATAACTATGTCTTTAAAAAAATGAAAATATATTTTTAAAGGGTTAAGTGCCTTTGAAGTTTACATAAATATAAAAAAAAAGAAGCACACCTTCTAATTAAACCTAGACAGGTCCATTCTACGTCTCCTCGTGCTTATGAAATCCAAATCTGGTTGTCATAAAACAATATTACGGGAAAATATATTTTTTCTCCATACCGTGAAGGTTTTTCGAAGTTGCCAAAAGGGAAAAACGCGTTCGAATACTCACATAGATATTTTAGCGAAACATTTCGCGGCAGCAAAAACATTTTTTTTTGTTATGAAATACTAAGTTTAGAAAATATTGCGATGGAAAGGGTGATTAGATTAGCTCAGTTACGGAACTGCTGAGACACGCTGCTTGCATGAGCAGTACCCCCCTTCCCTCACCACGACTCGCCTCCCGTCTTTCGAGGAGTCGGACGGATGCTTTGGTAATTGTAGTGTATTCTACGGGATACGACAGTTTCGACTCGCAGCGTCTAGATGGCGTTCCATCGTACTCTATGGAATACACAGTTCGTAAACGAATATCTAGATGGCGCTTGGAAAGACGGGAGGCGGGACTTCGAGATCTGAGGTAATCTAGTAACGTTGGTTATGCCTAAATAAAATAAAAGGCGACGTCGCAATTTAAAGACCCGCGCATACGAGCATGACTCATGTTTATGCCTTTCCGGGTCGCCGGGGTGTTTTCAAATGCGATTTCGACTAATTTCGCGACCATATTCGGTCCTTATCGTTTATAGATAAGATATGAAGATGTAAAGATAATAAACCGCACTAAGACCCGAAATCACAGTTTTTTTGTGCAAAATGTTTTACTGGCAACCAGTGACCAAGGTCGCCAAGGTTTTTATTTGTACATGACATATGAGAGCCCAACTACCCAAAACACTATGTGTTCCTCGAAATTCGTTTTCTTTTCGCCCGAAAACCGCCGACCGAGAACTCGCCGGTTAGGGTCGAGCTCACTCTCTTCTCTGGGGTCAGGTGCCGTTCTCTACGGTTTAGACGCACAACAAATGTAATCAAAGACTTGGGCCATCGAAAGCACACACTCAATATTAAGAATCGAACAAATATGATACCCATTTTTTGTGGCTTATAAAAAACTGCAAACAAGTTTATTAAAGCAAAAAAAAAAAAAAAAAAGGTAGCACAGAGAACCGGAAGCACTCTGTACATTCTCAGCATTGCGTCGTATCCCGAGACTGGCGGGCTGGGCGGCTGAACGAAGCAGGTGGCGAACGACGGGCATGGGACCTCTGCTTCAAAACTGTTGATTTTTCTCAGTACTGCCCCCCCCCCCCCCCCCAAAAAAAAAAATTTGTTTCGCTCCAAAATAAAAAACAATAAAACTTTTTTTTTTTTTATTGATCAAAGTAATTAGGATTTATTGCTTTTGACACGCCCGACCACCCAGCTGATACGCACGAAGACGTCGCCGAGTCGTCGCCCCTTCTCCTGGCTGAAGACATCGCTCACCTTACGAACACGAATTGGTGAGAGCTTGAAAAACGAGCAAAACATAAAGCATAACGTGCTTGACTTTTTCGTTTTTTTTTGTGCAAAGTGCGACGTGCAGTTTTTCGTCTGCTTCGCACAGCCGAAAAAAACAAAAAAAAAAGGCGGTCGACTGTAGCTACGTGATTTCTTAACTCTCTCCTCCTCTACTTTCCTTCTTCCTCCCCAATCCAGTTTCAATTTCAATTGCGAGCAATTTCGTTTCTTGACTTCATTAAAGCTATACGTGACGCTGTAGCAAAATATATATTCGGTAGTCTTCTGATATCATAATTTTTGGCCTGGCAAAAAAAAGAAAAAGAAGAAAGGGGGGGGGGGGGGTTGCGTCGACTCGTCGCGCACATCGACAAATGCCCTAATTTCAAGGAGGTTGCGTGGACGTGGTTTCAAGCGTTATCCGGACTTTGTAATTAGCCCAGGTCTTCGCTGCGTCTCCACGTGATACGAGAGAGCAAGACGGGTTCATTGTTCGGTGCAGAGTGCAACCTAATATAGTCTCTTGGCAGCATAGTCTTAACGAACAGCCTTGTTTTTCTTAAAGAACCTTTTGGAACTGCCTATTTCAGAGCGCAGCTCTTAGGCGCCCGTTTGCGGCCTGAGCGGCCTCGCCGTCGGCGTAACCGCGCTGTGCATTATGGGACGCGTGACGTCACTGATGACGTCATCAGTGACGTCATCGGCTTTGTAATTGTCACTGATGACGTCATCGTCATGTGACCTGATAGGGGTCACATCGTCATGTCACTGGGCTCACATCGTCATGTGACCCCGGTGACGTCACGTGACCCCTGTGAGGTCACGTGGCCCTCGTGAGACGACGGCGCCACCGCTCGGAGGGAGGAGTAGTAGACAGGATGAGGAGGAAGGAGGAAGGATAAACCTTTCCCTCAGTACCCTTCCCCTCCTCCTCCTCAAGAGCTGCGCTCTAATCCGGCGTTACAAGGATTTCATTTTTTGTGTCCGTTTCATGAATCGCAGTGAAACAGGTACGGCTGGCTCGACAGGGAGTGTCGTAAATTTGATTCTCATGTGCATTTGGAATTTGTTGCTTGTTATTTCGACAAAACACACGCTTTTTGAGAACCTCATTTTTTTTGTGACTATAATAATCCCTGGAGAAGGTGACCAAGGGGAACGAAAGACAAACTAAGATCTCCCTTAATCCCCTTCTCCACGCATTATTATCGTCATTCTCGTCCACCTCGCTTGCACCCGTGCATTAATTGGATTATCATCACGTTTTTGTGATAACTATTTCTTGCAGGGTATAAAATGATGCGCCAATATAAATCCATGTGTTTAGTTGACAACACGGATAGTAGGTAAACACGAAGAACGACCTCGTAAATGGCGTCCAGCGAATACTCGCTGTACACTGATGCAAGGTGATGGATGCCGCGGACAGCTTTGCGTCACTATTATCACGCAACCTTGTTCAATGTCGGAGCCCCAGAAAGCGACAAAAAAAGGGATATAACTGCAACACACGTCGTCAGGATTCCTGACGAAACGTTCGATCAACCCGCCATTCATCAGATGACGTCGAAACACTTTATACCCCTTCCGGGCTTTCTATTTGAAGTTGACGACCAACGAAACATTGCATCGAGCAATATGAAGAAAACATTTGTTTTCGGCAGTTAAAAAAAATAAATAAAGATACTGATATGTGAAAGCGTAAATACTCAAAAGGGCAGACGATGGGCGGAGGACAAAGCTATGCATTTTGGTTTAATACGCATGCATAATGAAGATGAGATGAGCATCATATAAATGTCCAGTGAGTACTT